GGAGACCAAAGCCCTGAGGTAAGTGGGGAAATGGGATCCTGGGAGGAAGCAAGAGCAGGAAAGCGCAAGAGGGGGAGGACTCCTGTCTCATACGGAGAAAGAGGGACGATCGATGAGTTATCTTAAGTGCCTATACACAAATGCAAGAAGCCTGGGAAACAAGCAGGGAGAACTGGAAGTCCTGGCACAGTCAGGGAACTATGATGCGACTGGAATAACAGAGACTTGGTGGGATAACTCACATGACTGGAGTACTGTCATGGATGGATATAAACTGTTCAGGAAGGACAGGCAGGGCAGAAAAGGTGGGGGAGTTGCATTGTATGTAAGAGAGGAGTATGACTGCTCAGAGCTCCGGTATGAAACTGCAGAAAAACCTGAGAGTCTCTGGATAAAGTTGAGAAGTGTGAGCAACAAGGGTGATGTCGTGGTCGGAGTCTGCTATAGACCACCAGACCAGGGGGATGAGGTGGACGAGGCTTTCTTCCAGCAACTAACAGAAGTTGCTAGATCGCAGGCCCTGGTTCTCATGGGAGACTTTAATCACCCTGATATCTGCTGGGAGAGCAATACAGCGGTGCACAGAAAATCCAGGAAGTTTTTGGAAAGTGTAGGGGACAATTTCCTGGTGCAAGTACTGGAGGAACCAACTAGGGGCAGAGCTTTTCTTGACCTGCTGCTCACAAACAGGGAAGAATTAGTAGGGGAAGCAAAAGTGGATGGGAACCTGGGAGGCAGTGACCATGAGATGGTCGAGTTCAGGATCCTGACACAAGGAAGAAAGGAGAGCAGCAAAATACGGACCCTGGACTTCAGAAAAGCAGACTTTGACTCCCTCAGGGAACGGATGGGCAGGATCCCCTGGGAAAATAACATGAAGGGCAAAGGGGTCCAGGAGAGCTGGCTGTATTTTAAAGAATCCTTATTGCGGTTGCAGGAACAAACCATCCCGACGTGTAGAAAGAATAGTAAATATGGCAGGCGACCAGCTTGGCTTAACAGTGAAATCCTTGCTGACCTTAAACGCAAAAAAGAAGCTTACAAGAAGTGGAAGATTGGACAAATGACCAGGGAGGAGTATAAAAATATCGCTCAGGCATGCAGGAGTGAAATCAGGAAGGCCAAATCGCACTTGGAGTTGCAGCTAGCAAGAGATGTTAAGAGTAACAAGAAGGGTTTCTTCAGGTATGTTAGCAACAAGAAGAAAGTCAAGGAAAGTGTGGGCCCCTTACTGAATGAGGGAGGCAACCTAGTGACAGAGGATGTGGAAAAAGCTAATGTACTCAATGCTTTTTTTGCCTCTGTCTTCACAAACAAGGTCAGCTCCCAGACTGCTGGACTGGGCAGCACAGTATGGGGAGGAGGTGACCAGCCCTCTGTGGAGAAAGAAGTGGTTCAGGACTATTTAGAAAAACTGGATGAGCACAAATCCATGGGGCCGGATGCGCTGCATCCGAGGGTGCTAAAGGAGTTGGCGGATGTGATTGCGGAGCCATTGGCCATCATCTTTGAAAACTCATGGCGATCGGGGAAGGTCCCGGATGACTGGAAAAAGGCTAATGTAGTGCCCATCTTTAAAAAAGGGAAGGAGGAGGATCCGGGGAACTACAGGCCAGTCAGCCTCACCTCAGTCCCTGGAAAAATCATGGAGCAGGTCCTCAAGGAATCAATTATGAAACACTTAGAGGAGAGGAAAGTGATCAGGAACAGTCAGCATGGATTCACCAAGGGCAAGTCGTGCCTGACTAACCTAATTGCCTTCTATGATGAGATAACTGGCTCTGTGGATGAGGGGAAAGCAGTGGATGTGTTATTCCTTGACTTTAGCAAAGCTTTTGATACGGTCTCCCACAGTATTCTTGCCGCCAAGTTAAAGAAGTATGGGCTGGATGAATGGACTGTAAGGTGGATAGAAAGCTGGCTAGATCGTCGGGCTCAACGGGTAGTGATCAATGGCTCCATGTCTAGTTGGCAGCCGGTTTCAAGCGGAGTGCCCCAAGGGTCGGTCCTGGGGCCAGTTTTGTTTAATATCTTTATTAATGATCTGGAGGATGGTGTGGACTGCACTCTCAGCAAGTTTGCAGATGACACTAAACTGGGAGGCGTGGTAGATACGCTGGAGGGTAGGAATCAGATATAGAGGGACCTAGACAAATTAGAGGATTGGGCCAAAAAAAACCTGATGAGGTTCAACAAGGACAAGTGCAGAGTCCTGCACTTAGGACGAAAGAATCCTATGCACTGCTACAGACTAGGGACCGAATGGCTAGGTAGCAGTTCTGCAGAAAAGGATCTAGGGGTCACAGTGGACGAGAAGCTGGATATGAGTCAACAGTGTGCCCTTGTTGCCAAGAAGGCTAATGGCATTTTGGGCTGTATAAGTAGGGGCACTGCCAGCAGATCGAGGGACGTGATCGTTCCCCTTTATTCGACATTGGTGAGGCCTCATCTGGAGTACTGTGTCCAGTTTTGGGCCCCACACTACAAGAAGGATGTGGAAGTATTGGAAAGAGTCCAGCGGAGGGCAACAAAAATGATTAGGGGTCTGGAGCACATGACTTATGAGGAGAGGCTGAGGGAACTGAGATTGTTTAGTCTCCAGAAGAGAAGAATGAGGGGGGATTTGATAGCTGCTTTCAACTACCTGAGGGGGGGTTCCAAAGAGGATGGAGCTCGGCTGTTCTCAGTGGTGGCAGATGACAGAACAAGGAGCAATGGTCTCAAAGTGCAGTGGGGGAGGTCTAGGTTGGATATTAGGAAACACTATTTCACTAGGAGGGTGGTGAAGCACTGGAATGGGTTCCCTAGGGAGGTGGTGGAATCTCCTTCCTTGGAGGTTTTTAAGGTCAGGCTTGACAAAGCCCTGGCTGGGATGATTTAGTTGGGGATTGGTCCTGCTTTGAGCAGGGGGTTGGACTAGATGACCTCCTGAGGTCCCTTCCAACCCTGATATTCTATGAAACTGTGCAGAGGCAATAGATAACTTGTATTAGAAAAGAGACTTTAACTAACACAGAAATGTGAAGCCTGGAGTTGTGTGTCTGTTAATTCCCTGTGTTACTTGCCTGGGTTTGGTTTTCCTCACTAGCTCGTCTTTGAACCCGGGATTTTTTTATTAAGTAAACTTTTTATTTTTACGTCTAGCAGCTCTCCTTTGCGCAAACCGTTGAGAGCATGTGTCCCCCAAAGCGAACTGTTCACTGGGGGCCGGTGAGCCAGAGGGGAAAATAGGAGTGTCTGGTCATTAAGAACTCAGGTTAGACGGATCTGGGGAGACTTGGGACCGGAAGGGCTGTTGGGGTCACCCCGCAAGGTGTAACGAGGCCGGTGGAAGCCAAGATGTGACCTTTATACTTGTGGACCAGCTGTGGGTGTCATGCTCTGAGCCATAACAGCAAAGCAGTTCAGCACCCAAAGTTACAAGACGGGCGGTGACAGAACCCCTTATGGGTGTGGGTGATCCCCAACCCATCACAGATGCAAGGAGCAGAGCCCTGCGCTGCAGATACGGCTAGAGACCGGGCAGGGAGACGGACAGAGCAGGACTCACTCATGGCCACAGGCAGTGGGGACTAAGCCCTAGGCAGGGTTCTCTAGGGTCACTGAGCACAGGGAGAGGGACAGCAGGGCAGAGAGGAGCCAGAGTGGGGGTTGGAGGAAAACTTGAGTGGGGCAAAGGGGAGCAAGACAAAGACATGGGGGGCAGAGAGGAAATACGGGGGAAATTCAAGGGGCACCAAGTTGTCAAAGCAACCACTAAAAGCGGGACAGGAGCATTGTGGAATTGCGCCGGGAAGACCGACTGGCGGGCGCTACAATGCCTGCTATTCCTGGGCATGCTGGCCCTGCAACGGTGCCGAGGGACATGGCAGCGGAGGCCGCTTTGCTCCCCAGAGCGCGCGCAATTGCCCGGTGACGTGAGCGTGGTGCACGGTGCGCTTGGGAGCTGCAGTGGTGCTCACAGTGGCAAAATACTCCAGCAGACAAGGTCAAAGGGGACAGCCAGTTGTCTGGTTGGACCTGGTCACAGCAGCGGGACGGGGACTATCATGAGGCCTTGGATGGACATCTCCACTACTATCGTGGCCTAGGTTAAAGCTAGCACAGGGATGCCTACCCGTGCTATAAGCACATCTTCACGTGCAGTGTAGACACCACCTCAGCAAGTCCCAGGGATACAGCAGCCTTAGGCGGAAAGTTAAACCAGGCAGCCGTGAGATGTGGGAGGCCCTGAAATGAAAGGCCAGGGGAGGAGATGACTGGAATTCAGTAATGTCCCCCTGCAGCCAGCTCCTCCCTGCCCAAAGGTCCTACCGTTGCCTGTCACGCCAATAAAGATTTCTGATGTATCACACAGTCGATAGTTACCCTGGGATCTCCGAGCCACGCAAGGGTGGACTGGTGCTGGGCTGGCAAAGCTGCACGCTCTGGGCCTGACCTTGAGCAAGTCTCTTAGCCACGACTGCAAAACAAGCCACTGATATTTGGATGCTACGGTGGAAAACGGGGGCCTTATTCCCTCCGGGCCTCCGTTTCCTCTCCTCCAATATCGGCCTACCGCTGCCACCGTGTCCCGGGGGAAGGTTGCAAGGTGAGGCTCGTTCTCGGGTTGCAAAGCACTCTGGGATCTTCAGCTGCAAGGCACTGGCAAAGGGTGAAGTGTTGCTATTGTGGGTCTATCCTGATGGTGGCAGTCCCGGCCAAAGCCCAGGTGCTGTTTTCATCCCACAAGGCCTATGTGCCACGTAAGTAGGGCTGACGTGAGACTTACGTGATCGATAGGCCTGACTCCAGCAGCTGGGGCCTTGAGAGAACCGCTAGCTAACCGGCAACTGGCTTTCAATTGAATCGGAAAAGCAGAGAAGCTACGCACATGGCCCTCCTCCCCATCTCCCCCTGCCCCAAACAGCTGCCCCATAGACCCACATGCCCACTCACAGCTCATTTCACCTATGGAGCACCCCCCGTCCCCAAAGGTAGAGGGATGAGAACCGTGGCACCTCGAGAGAGTCCTGGCTGTCCACTGAGCTCTGCCGAACCAGCCTGTGGACCAGCGACGTCCTGGTGCTCCCCAAGGGCGAGAGGGCAGGCAGGGCCTTCACCTCATTCCACTCCACATGCAAAGTCGTGTCCACAGCCACTGCGGGGAGAGCACAGAGAAACGTCAGCCTCTGAGAGCCTAGCCCTGCTGCGGGGCCCTCTGCCCCTGGGGACTCTAAAACTGCACTGCTCCCTCCAGGAAAGTGACTGCCGTGGGCAGGACGCTGGCTGGGTCCCCTCTGCTCTGCACCACCGACTCTGGCTCTGTGCTTTCTGCTGGGACCAGATCACTCCGATCCTGGGCAATGGCGGGGGTTGATTCTTCCCTTTAAGGAATCCCAGGCTATGTATGTAAATGTCACCCCGTTGTTACCCGCGAGCCTCCTTCTAAGGTCTCCGAGCGCTATCAGGAGGCGGCGGGCAGTGACAAAGAGGGGTTAATGGTAGTCATCCCAGTGGGACCAGAAAAGCACAGAGGGGGAATTCCTTTTTGTTCCCCAGGGGACTAGAAGCAATGAGAAGAGGAGAGGAGAGACTGGTTTAATGTTTTAGTTCAAGTATTAACAGGCACTAAACCACCATGGAGGCCCAGCTGTGTCTACACCCGGAGACGATACCGGCATAGCTAGGCCAGCATAAGCCTGTAGTGCAGACACTGCTGGGGAAGGGGGATGGGTTTTTCCGTCCGTGTAGGGACACCACATCCCCGAATGACCGTAGCTAGGGGATGATCTACACTACAGAGATAGATCCGCTTCACTCCCTCACTCAGGACTGTGAAAAACGGGATGTAATTAAGCTGACCTAAGCCCTGGGGGAGATATCCCTAGGTAAAAAAAAAAATTCTTCCATCAACCTGGCTACCACCTCTTGGAGTGGTGGATTTACAGCAGTGACCCAAGAACCACCTTCTGCGGCTGTAGTATAGCTGCTCCACTACAGCGTTTCTCGTGTAAACAGAACCTTAGTCGATGGAAGCCTTCCTTCTTCCATTAACAAAGCTGCATCTACACTGGGGCTTAGGTCAGTATAAATGTGTCATCAGCAGTGTGTTTTTTTCACAGACCTCCAACCAACGTAGCTATGTCAATCCACCTTCTAAGTGTCCCTCAAAGAGGGACCTCGGTGCACGGACCTCCTTGTGGGTTTCAGCCCACGTGTTAAAGGGGGTGGGATTTTGCACTGGTATTTGCAGCACGGAATCCAAGGCTGTTCTTTTGCATTTCCCCAGGGTTATCCCCCCGGATTTTGTGAGTCCGTCTGGTGAAGTTCACCCCAACGCAGTGCCATGTAAGCCCCAGAGCAGCAAACCCTTAACATGGGGGGCGGTGTTGTGCGTGGAACCTTGAACAAACCTGCCACTCAGAGGGAGTGAATTCCTCTCTTCTAGCAAAAGAGAACAGCATAAAGGCCCTACATGTGCGAATGCACACGCACTCACACGCAGGCTGCCGTGCACAGACACACCCGAACGGGACTGCCGGATTTCCTAGCAGACGCACTGTCGGCACTAATTGTACTGTTCTCTCTTGTATCAACCGGATGGAACGTAAACGATCAGGCTGCTGGTGCGCTGCTCATCCCAAACGTCTCATTGTTCCCCTGTCCGCCTGTTTACTGCAGCCACCTGTTGTCTCTTCCGCTTAGATCGGCACGCTTTCGGGGGCAGGACCCTCCCTTTGTTATATGGTTGCATAGCACCTAGCGCAGTGGGATTGGGGCCCCTACGCCCTACCGTAATACTTATAATAAAAGGCATTTGTGACAGCTGCCATCCTGGTCAAAACACCAGGGGTCGAACTGGGACCCTCAAAGTTACGCATGCAACTGGATTCCAGGCTCCCCGGCGGGGGCTGGAACAGGCTCTCATTCTTCGTGGATCAGGCACGAAAGGGGACTGACCACGCACTCACCCACCAGTGGGTCACACGTGTTTCTATCTCAGGAGGGCCACGTAGCTCTACTAGGCTACAGAGCGTAAGCGGTGAGTAGGTGGTGCACTGGCCCTCTGCCTCAGGGTGAATGTCACCCCGGGGTCTGTGAGCCAGGCCCTCCTCAGCATGCTATTCCAGCAGAGACCCCGGCACACTGCCGTCCCAGCCCCATCCTCACGTGGCCTGCTTGGAACTTTCAGAGGCGCTGTGGTTTTGGTTGGGGGGTTTCTATCTCCGAGCTGTGTCCACATCAACGGGTGACAAGGCACCACCCGGGTCAGGATGGACTGGAATGCCATACTCGGCACGCTGTGGCCAGGATTCTCTCCAGTGTGTGTCTGAGACCGTCCCAAACTCACTGCAAGTGTGAAATGACAAGGGCCTGATCCTCACACTCACTGCTCTTTGCTAAAAAGGCATGAAGTTTGGGGTGGGGCTGCCTCCCCCGACACACAGAGGTCGGATGCTGGGCTCCCACCAGGGGACGCTACTACATTCTCTTATTTACAAGGGCGGTTTGGAATTGGTTTTTAAGCACTTTAAGGCCCTGATTCTGCTCCCATTAAGAATTTTGCCAGTGACTTGAACAGGTTCCTGTTCATGGCATCTGTTACACTGCAGAACAAAAGGGCTGAAAAACCCATGTCCTCTCTATGTACCTGCCAAGACCTGACTAGAAGGGCTCTGGGTTCCCCTGCAAGAGCTGACGTCATCCCAGACCCCCTCAAATGAACCAGAGGAAGCCTCCAGCTTAGGCTGCGGATGTCATCACAGGTGGCAGGAAAACCCATGGGTCCAGACACAAGGACTTGGCAGGTAAGTAAAGGAGGATGGGATTGATGGGTTGCGTACCCTCCCCCTCCGCTCCATGGGGAAGTCCCCGTCCTGCACGGACAGGGAGCAGAGCAGAATCCCAGCGTGAGGCTTCCCCAGGCAGCGCCGAGAGCAGCCCTTTGCCTCCGCCTGCTGCGTCTTAGCGTCATGTGGATTCTGCCGATGAAGGGGGACCTGGGGACAATTTTGTGCGTTCGTTTACAAAGCTGCCTGGGTCACTATGTAAAGCACAGAGCCCCCAGAGCACAAGCAGAGTTTCCCTCCCTGGAGAAGTGTAGGGAACATTGTACCTGACACTTCGGGACTGTTTGCTGCAAACCAGGCCAGTAATTCAGGGGAGTAATTCACCCGGCGCAGAGGGGCCAGCACAAGTCATAAGCGGTGCCCAGGCCTTGTGCCTCCTCTCCGCGCCCGGGATGCATCTCACCCTGCAGGCACAAAAAGAGACCTAGAGATAGCAGGCATGAGCCATGGGAGGTTAACCTGCCCCACGGCCTGACAACACCAGTCTGGTTTTCCTAGTGTTAATTCAGCCCAGGCTAACGCCTTCACTGATCTGCTCTGGGAGGTCACTACTCCCTCCTCCTGCTCGACACAGTCACGGCCCCCAGCTTTTCACTGGGTTGTAAATTCTTCAGGGCAGGGCTGGCGTGTCTGTGCAGCACCCAGCACCATGGGGCCCTGATCCTGGCCGGAGCCTTCGACACTCCCACAAAGCCAGCCACGCAGTCAATGAAGTCCTTGGGGAGGTGCTGCAGTGAAGTCTCGGTTGAGGTCTGCCCCACTAGCGTGGAACATCTTCCACCCAAGAGGCAAAGGCCTGGCTTTATACAGCAGCGAAGAAGGAAAATCTAGCTATTCCCCGCTCTAGGTCTGTCTTGCTTAGAGGCCCAGAACGCTGCATCGGACCAGCTGCAGCCCACACCGTACTCCAACGGGGCCCACAAGAGAGCTCAGCGTGCATGGGGAGCTGAAACCCAGGGACTGCATTTCCCAGCATGCACTGCTTTCTCTTTGTCCGCGCAGCCCAGGGGCACCCCTCGCTGGAACGTTTAGACCCACAGGCCAGGCAGAGCAAGAGGAAGGTTCTCATCCCGGGGCTGGAGGTGAGACCCCAGCCCCTTCCATTTCGCCAGCAATGCCACCTTCACGCCCGGATTTGCCCGCTTCTCCCACAAGCACCGACACGCTTCTGTCCATGTTATTAACCCTTCCTCTTTTCCCGGGCTTGGCTCCTTGCAGTGACACCAGTGGGGTCACTCCCGAGTTACCCAGGCGAAAGCAGGAGCCGATTCCAGTCCTGTGCTCAAACCACTAGACAGCGCTGCCTCTTAGAGCAGCAGTTCCCAAACTTTTTACTAAGGTGACCCACCGGCTGCGTTGTGTCTTTTGGGGGATCCTATTGACATATACAGAAAGAGAAAACAACTAGGGCTTGCTAGGGGCTGTCATACCAGGCTGCAGAGCGCCTTTAAAGTGGGGGCCCTCCAGCCCCCCCATCTCCACTCCCCTCCCCCATCCTCCAACCCCCTGCTCCCCACTCCCCTTCTCAGCCCAAGCCCTGTTTGGCTCTCCCCAGCCATGCCCCCAGCTGGGCCATGATCACTGCCAGGCTGCTGACGGTCCACTCCCTGGCACCCGACACTTCCTCTGCACAGCTGCTGCTGCACCAGGGGAAGTGAGAGCACGGGGCAGAGGGGGAAGAGTGCCTTTGGGGCTCACACGACCCACTTCCACTCTTCCCATGACCCACCGCTGGGGAGCTGCTGTACTAGAGCGGGGAAGAGCAGAGGTGCCTGGAAGCTGGGGAGATGGAATTGCATTAGCCAAAGCCAGGTGCTCCCCTTTTCCCAGAAGCTCGGCTGCATCCCACAGGAGCAGCACAGGGCTCGTTGCTTGGGTTTGGCTGCAGTTCCTGGCCCCCTGGCAGGCGACCCTTGGGCACGGATGGCCGTGGCTGGGGTATTTTTTCCCCCACGGGGCGTTACCGCTCCATGCTACCGTGGCGAATCAGGAGCAGAGCCGAGGACCCTGGGCAGGTGCCATGCTGGCTGGCAGTGCACCGGGCTCACGGCCCAAAAGAAAGGAAGGCAGGCAAACCACCAGGAGCCCATCTGCGCTAAGCAGTGGCAGGCCTGGTTGAAGTTTGGATGGGAGACCTCCAAGGACCAGCCCGCTGCAGAAACAGGGAGGGGTGACTCAGCAAAGGGCACCCTTCCATTCAGTCGGTGCCCCCAGCCCGGCGCTAGGAGGCACCGGCTCGCTGG